CAGTATTTGTGCTATCAACTGGGAAGGTAGGGTAGCAGATGTGGGTGCAAGCTCATGGTGATGATGATATCTCTCATTCTCAACGTCTTCATTAACAATTTGCTGACCAGTTATCAGGGCCTGGGTTGGAATTAAAACAGAGCACTGGGTCCTAGAATAAGTGGTCAAGGATAACTCCATGGTGTAAACCATGGAATACAGCAAGAACAGTGATCTCAAGAACTAGCCAGGAAGATACAACACTGCCAAGATAATCCAGACATAATTCTGATTGGTCCCCACATCCTGAAACAGTACTTGGATTCCTTAGTTACTCCTGTGGTCAGAGAATCTTGCACTATTCCTACATCATCCTGTTTTGCAGTCCTCTTATGTCCCTTAAATAAAATATTTTAGTGTAAGACAAATCTCAAAACCCTTTTTCTAATTTGGATGCTACTTCTCAGGAAATGTTGGAAACAGGTACAACGTTTTTTTAAAGGTATAGTTGACATACAATATTGTATTAATTTCAGGTGTACAACATAGTGATTCAATATATACATACCTTATGATATCACCACAAGAAGTATAGTAACCATCTGTCACTGTAAAAAGTTATTATGATATAATTGACTATATTCCCTATGATTTATTTAAAAACTGGAAGTTTGAACTTCTTATTCCTCTTTACCTTTTTTACCTATCCCCACCCCAGGTGTAACATCTTAATTGAGAAAGGCATATGAAAGCAAATGTATTTGCATAGGAACCCCATAACCCCAGAAGTCATCCTCTAGTAAAGGGCTATGAGAGTTCCCATTGCTCACTTCAATTATGTCTGTGAGAGATTTGGAGCCTAAATATCTCATTCCATGGTGAAAAAAGGCAGTTCACAGATTGTACAATTTTTAACTCCTTCACTTATTCAATATACATAAATCATAACTTACTCTGAGCCAGTAACTGTATTATGTTCTGTGATAGTGATAAAAATATGCATGAACCTCTAGGAGAGTGCATTAAATCAAAGGTATCAAGTGATGAAATTAAGGTATGCATAGGTGCCTGTGAGACCCCAAAAGAGTGAGTTAACTGAGCTTGGGAGAATCTTGGAAGCATTTAGCACAACTGAATGAATGTCATCAAATAAAGGCTGAGGAAAAGCATCACTGATGAGGTAACACTTTAACTGAAACTTGAAGAACAAGTATGATTTATTCAGGCAGACAAAGAGAAGAAGGCTGTTGGTAGAGAAACAAATGAATTAGTACCCTGTGGCAAGAAGCATATGAAAATTATCAAGGGACAGAACCAGAATGGAAGGAGGAAAATAGCTTAAAGCACTACTTCTCCAACTTTAATGGTCACATATATCACCTGGACAATCTTGATAAAATACAGATTCTGACTCAATGGGTCTGAGGTGGAGCACTTCTAACAAACTCTGTCAGTGATAGAGTTGCTGGTCAATGAGCTACACTTAGAGATCTGTTTCGGTGTGATAGGAGAGGAAGGTGAAAAGTTCAAGTTAACACATAGATTTTTTGATAGAATGATCTGAAGTAGTAGTATCATGGACTTCTAGAGGAAATTTAAGAGGAGATTTTCAGGAAAATACAAGTTTTGTTTTTGTGGGGTTTTTTTAAGTCACCTCTAAGATCTAGGGAGAGATATCTATCTGGTAGGCCCTTGGATAGAAGGGGAAAATAAAACCATGGTACAAAATGAGAAGGGGTACAAAGAGAGAGGATGATTAGAAGAAAATGATATGATCAATTCTACAGGAAAAATTTCAAGAAGGTGGGGAATGAACAATGTCACATGTTGCAGAGACATCAGGTAGGTGCAAGACCAGAATCCAGATTGCAAGGAGTTGAGGATTAGAAAGTGGGTGTTTTGATTAACGATAACTCCAGACAGTTGACTGAAAAATGTCAAGGAGAGTGCAGTAATGGAGTGGAAAGAAAGAAATGCAGAGTGAAGAGAGGGGTTCTTCCTCCCTTCTACCCTCATTTTCCTTTGTCCTTCCTTCTTTCCTTCTTCCCTCCCTTCCTTTTAGTATTGTTTTAGAAATTTTCCAACATACAAATAGATTGAGAGGATATTATAATGAATTTCCATGTATCTATCACACAGCTTCCACAATTTTGTACATTTTTGCCAAGTTGGGATTTTTTTTTAGATGCAGCTGACTTAGGTATATTTATTTATACATTTAGGAATAAGTCAAGACAGAGGGAACAGTTTAAAGTTTAGAAGAGAAAAATGATAATTGATGGAGCAAGATTTTTGAGAAGGAGGCAGTGATGGAGTATAGTACAAGTGGTGATTCTGGCTCCAGATAGTGACACAGACACTTTGTCTACTGAGTTGAGACAGAAGAACCATCAGAAATCTGGTTAAAATTTCAATTCCCAGTCCCACTGTACATCATATCCCTTCAGGCTTCTTCAGTTCCTTCCTTGAATCCATTCACAATTTTTTTTCAAAAATCTATTCCACCCAAACATTTCACAAGTTCAGTCATTTTATTGAAGATCCAGTGCCAACTGAGAGTGGTCACATTACAGAGAACAGTCACTTAGCATCTTCCATCTTGGGAGCAGCCTCTATTATCTCCCTAAAGCAACAGAAAAAGTGTTCCTTTTGTCCTACAACTAAAATTTCTTCCTAAGAAACCCAGGGGAAGAAATTGTTTTAATCACTTAACATGGAGATTAAGTTTTTGGTATCAAGTCAAGAAATGAGCAAATTCATTCCTAATACAAATTAATTTATTTGTAAAATATGAAGAGAATTCATTTGGAAAGAGTTCATTTGCCTGGAATTGTGTGGAAAGAAGTTTTATAAGTGTGGCAAGGGTTTGGAATATTGCCAAAGCCTTCCTTTTAGCTTTACCTAAAGTGATGTATTGCATTCTAATAAAAGATGAAAACAGCAAAATGCACCTACACACACACACTCACAGAAAATAAGAATATGATTATTAGGGAATATTAGACTTCTATGAAGTGCCACTTATATAGGTGGGTCTGTCAACTGGTCCCCTTTTGTGTTTACTGTTGGAAGATAAAGTTGGGGAACTTTTTTTTCACTTAAGTCTGAATAAGTAGATATTTGTGTGAGCATCATTCTAGCCATTCATTAGATAACAGCTTAATTCTACAGGTAGAAATGTACATTCCAAACATTTTCTACAAGCTCTTGTCTCCCAAGCGTATCTCTTACTGCCCCCCTTTCTATCTGTGATATTTTGCATTGAGCACCCAATACTGGAAGTGATCATTTAAGTCAGTAATTTCAAGATTATTTCAATTGGGTAGTAATTTAGTAACTCTCTTGATAGAGAAAAAGATATAATTTAACTCTTTTGATAGAGAAAAAGATATAATTTGGAAATAATTGATCTAATAAAAGAAAAATGGATAAATGCTTAAAAATTGCTTGGGTCATTACATTGCTAAAAGCAATAAATAATTTGGAGTTTAAGTACCATAAATATAAACAATATAAATACTGTATGTGTATAAATTCATAATTTACATTTTAATTATTTATACTTAGCTTATCTGCATTTGAAATATTTTTCTTATAGTGGAAAATCATAAGGACTAAAAGAAAAGGATTCAATACTAGATTCTTATGGTATAGAAATTTGTAAGCATACAATATGTACTACTTTACAATATTTTACTGAATTAGCCTCTCAAGAAAAATAACTCAGTCCAATTACCTCCCAGTCTATTCTTGTGATAGTATTTCTATCTTTTAAAATTGATTAGTAGACAACAGTCTTTCCAGTGAATGATATTGATCACTTAAATCAGTTCCAAAGACTAAGAAATATTGATGCTTTGCATAAAATTGAGCTTCTCCCAGGCAAATAAGTACCAAGGCTTCAGAGTTTTTATGCCCACCAAAATATAGATTTTTTCCCATTGATTCAGAAAAAACAAACAAACAAACAAAAAAGACAACCTTTATTCCCATGCATTTAAAGTTACACATTTAGGAAGAGGCAATTATATTACAATGACATTGCATTTTAAGAAGCAGGCATGGAAAGTGTTACCTCAATTTTATGGATCAGAAAACAGAACCCAGAGAGATTGCCATTTCCCCAGTGTGGCCTGGCAAGACAAGACTAAAACCAGAGCCAGATTCTTGGTTCCTAACTCCAAGGCCTGAGTCCTGTCCCTCTTTATTCGAGTATTTGGACTTGGTGGCAGGCTTGTGTTAAGTGATTATGTTTTGACCTCACAATTTGTGCCCTTGAGTTGACAGCATATTTCTTAGATAGTAGAACTCATAGCCAGCAGTGTCGTGCTATCAAACACGGCATGATTCACTTAGATGAACCATATCTTCTTCTGCTGCTTTGTATAAACCTGGATAAACCCATTAGCCATAAGTCATTTTAAGAAAAAAAATAAAGCTTAGATTTGAGACTTGTTAAAGCACAGGTCTTTCAGCCCAAGGCAGATTGACTCAGTAACAGTGAGGTTCTCATTTCTTTAGCAATCTGTAGAATTTAAGAATATAACTGAAGAGTAAAGAAAAGTAAAGAATAGTTAGTATGTAAATATAAAAAGTCCTGCAGCTAGAGCTATTTATTATTGAGCTCCTTCTGTTGTGTACCTTCTACTGGCATATGTTGAGATCAAGAAGAAATATCAGACATTGCCACTCTTGACTCCTCAGGAACTTAGAAGCCAATTGAAGAAGCAAAACACACCATGTAATGGGCTCTATGGATTCAGGCAGAGCAACGGGGTCAGAAAGGTGTTTTAGTTTGAGTTAACCCAGAAGTAGACTCCAAGACAAGGATTTGAGTGCATGTATGTTTGGTGGAAGGTGGAAAGAGCATGGGAAAAAAGAAAGGAAACAGGAAAGAGAAGACAACCAGTAAAGGGAACATTATTAGCTATCACCATGAGTAGAGGGCTGACGCATGTCTGCCATAGTAGGATTCTTGGTGGAGGTGAGACTTGACAATGCTCTTTCTCATCTTTCCTCAGGTGTCTGCATGTTACTATCCCTATTGTCCATTGTGTATGGAGCCTTGCGCTGCAACATCCTAGCCATCAAGATCAAGTATGATGAGTATGATGTAAAAGTGAAGCCTCTGGCCTATGTCTGCATCTTTCTCTGGAGGAGCTTTGAGATTGCCACTCGAGTCATTGTCCTGGTCCTCTTTACCTCTGTCCTGAAGGCCTGGGTGGTACTGGTAATACTCATCAACTTCTTCAGCTTCTTCTTATACCCCTGGATCCTCTTCTGGTGCAGTGGTTCCCCATTTCCTGAGAACATCGAGAAGGCCCTCAGTCGAGTGGGCACCACCATCGTGCTGTGCTTCCTCACCTTACTTTATGCCGGTATCAACATGTTTTGCTGGTCAGCTGTGCAGCTGAAAATCAACAGCCCTGACCTTATCAGCAAGTCTCAGAACTGGTATCGGCTACTGGTGTACTACATGCTGAGATTCATTGAGAACGCCTTCCTCCTCCTTATGTGGTATCTTTACAAGACTGACATCTATATGTATGTGTGTGCACCTCTGTTGATTTTGAAGTTGCTCATTGGGTATTGCACAGCCATTCTATTCATGCTGGTATTCTATCAGTTCTTCCACCCTTGCAAAAAGCTCTTTTCCTCCAGTGTTTCTGAAAGCTTTCAGCGGTGGCTAAAATGTATTTGCTGTCACTGCCAGTGGCAGAAATCCTCAGATTCTGTGGGAAAAACAGATGTAAGGTCATCCGGAGACAGAGATGAAACACCTTCTAGTAGTAAAATAAGTTCTATGCCTAGCCAGATCTTGAATGCTGATGATCTCTGCTCTGCTTAATAGGACCTGAGTCTCTTGGGCCAAAGACATATTGTTTTTTGGGTTGATTACTGTTCTTCATACAAGTGATGAGCCCCACACAGTAAACAAAGCAGGAAGTTAGCTCTCACCTCCTTGTGAGTTGCTCCCATTTAGAGAACACTTGGGTGTGTGAGAACTATGGAGAGAAGCCAGGGAAACTTCTGAGGGTTAGAGGAGCAGTCTAAGGCACCACCATTCACAGTCGACCATGTTCACCCAGGCATTACTGTGTATGTGTGTGGGTGTGGGTGTGTGTTTTTCACTGACAAAGTACTCATGATATCTGAGTTGAGCTGGTTAGATTTATCAGGTATAATGAGGACAGGGGCTTTCTTATTTTCTAGTTTTCTAGACTTCTAGTCTGTGTAGCCTAATGTTTTATTATCCCTGAGCATAGTTTTCATCCAAGAGCTGGCTTGATGATCAGATAAAGTGACTGTGTTTTGCCATTGGCAACATCATTACTGTCAGAGTTTTCAGAGAGGGCTGTTCAAGTTTCATTTTTGAATAGACAGGTGTTTCATTTTCATTTCATTAGGGCTCTTTTTATATAACCAACTGTAGCCACCTTGGTCTGCTATCTCTAATTGATTTAAAAGTCTAGATTTGGAGACTTTATACCCAAAGATCCATGGATACAACATTGAATTCTAAATTTCATTATGGAAGCCCTAGAATTTTAGGAAAGTTATGTGTTCCTTCAATATGTTGACGTTCTGGAACAAGAGGGTTGTTAAAACATCAAAATTATGTAGGCTTTTGTAAGCAGAATTCTTAACTTCTTGGGAAGGTTGAAGATGTGAATCAGCAAGAAGGTAGGCTTAAACCTCTTCAAGGTTTAGTCCTGTCCTACAATTCTGGGGAATTTCTAGTAGAATTTGCTAGGATTTTCCTTCTTAAAAAAGAAGAAAATAAAACTCATAGTCTTTACTCCGCTTCTTCCTTGCCTGTTTGGAAAGTTGAAGACAAGATGTACTTTGGTTAGGTTAAAAAAAAAAGTTATTTTGGTTAAGTTTTTCTAGAAAACTCTACAGAAATCTTTCATCTACGCAGGTATATAGGACATTTCATTTTTTATTAGTTGAAGGAAAAAGGTTTGCTTTTCTCCCCCCAAGTTAGATGTTGACTTCAGAAACTTAAATTATAGAAAGTGATGAAATGACCAGAAGATATTTGTCTTTAACTGAATGCATTTTGATTTGGTGTTATTATTATTTAATTTGTACAAGATCTCCAATTTTATCCTTCTATACCAGGGGTGGGCAAACTTTTTGAATCGAGGGCCACAATGGATTCTTAAACTGGACCTGAGGGCCGGAACAAAAGCATGGATGGAGTGTTTGTGTGAACTAATATAAATTCAAAGTAAACATCATTACATAAAAGGGTA